CAAAGTACCACAGCACATTTTGTAGAGTTATTTCTCCTCAAAATCTGGGGCTACTGTCTTAAACTTGGTTTGTAGGAAACACCTGGCAATTCTTTATACCTTTGTATTCTGCTATTTTGATATTTAAAATAGTGCTAAATCAGCTGGGTTCTTTGGTTTGGCCATCCTCATTTTAGGGTGATTCAGAGAAATCTGTCCTTCAAACACGTGCTGTACAAAGTTAAAGTTAGCTTATTGGCTTGCCCCTGTTGTAGTTTTATTGCTTCATACTCTTCAGTTTTGAAATATATCTGGGTTAGGATTGAAGATAAATGCAAACCAGTATGTTATTAAAAGTTTGTTTTGTTTTTTGGTTTTCTTTTTAATGCTTTCTTTTCTAAGCAATGTCCACGCAGCTCAGAAATGTTGCTCTCTAACCTGTATAACCATCTGGGTGTGTTTTCAAATAAAAATTCGCTGGTGATCTCTATTTTCCTCAGCAGCCTGCACACTCTTCTATGTCCAGAAGCAAAGATTTCCTTGCTTTTTCTTTGTGTGAAAACTTTCTGATTATCTCACCCAGGATCTGGATTTTAAAGTTTAAATTCTAGAGTAGATTTAAAGAAGGGTATGTGAACTCCACTGAGGGGTATTTGTCTTTTCTTCTGCTATCAGTCAGGCTTTAGTCCTTCTCGGGCAGTGGTCGCTAACCCATAGTCTGCAGACCACTGGTGGTCTGTGAGGTCTGAAAGGTTGGCTTCCGCTGTTCTAGGGCATTCGGGATCTGAGGCAAGGATTGTTCTAGGAGGGATTCTGGGAAAAGCTTTGGACTAGGTAATTCTAGCTGAGACCAGAGTTCTGATCCAGTTCTGTTATCACCCAACTAGATAACAATCTCAGCCTCACTCACCTCATCTGTGAGTATTAGATCAAACCCTGATCTTGAAGATTCCTCTGAACTCATGACTTGTTTTGTGTCACTGAACCAGGTAGAGATGATACCTGGCCTGTCAACCATGTAGAAAACCACCTGTGACACAGTGAGCATAGAATCAGACCAAGGGTTATAACTTAACCATAAAGGAAAATGCAGATATCTTCCTGTGTCACACTTGATAGGGAGAGTGTGAAATGATTCCTGCTGCTTAGGTTCTGCACAGAAGAACAAACAGTCATTTTACCCTTTCCCTCATGGCCCTATTTAGACCAGAAGTGTACAGTAGAGACATGGTAGCTGCTGGCAGGATAAAGACTCCTCCACTCAAGGGTTCCTCAGTGCCAGTCACTTTTCATTATGAGTTCCTACAGCAGATGGACAGTGTTGGTGGGGAGATTAATCTTTGTGGCTGCATGTTCATCTCCCTGACTTCCGGGAGGGGTCCAACAGCCACAGCCAAGAGAGTTCTGGGCGTCACCTGGTTGAACCAGCATGTGCTAGAGAAATAATAGTCCAGCCACTTAGAGGAAAATAAGAGCTCAAGTCATTTTTCTTAACATGTTTTTAAAAGTAAGTGTTTTAAATCACAAAAGTTAAAAACCAATAAAAGCATACTAAATGCAGAAAACTTAGAAAACACAGAAAAGCAAAAAGAAGGCACAATTGCATTAATTCTAATCTAACCATATATTAGTGTGTGTGTGTGTGTGTGTGTGTGTGTGTGTGTGTGTATATATATATATATATATTTAAAAATATATATTTTATTGATTTTTGTACAGAGAGGAAGGGAGAGGGATAGAGAGTTAGAAACATCGATGAGAGAGAGTCATCGACCAGCTGCCTCTTGCACACCCCCTACTGGGGATATGCCCGCAACCAAGGTACATGCCCTTGACCGGAATCAAACCCCGGATCCTTTAGTCCCCAAGCCAGCACTCTATCCATTGAGCCAAACCGGTCTCGGCTAGTGTATATATTTTTAATATGCTTTCTAGGCCTATGCATATTTTCTCCTCAGAATAATATCATGCTTCTTTCTTCACCTATTTCCATTTGAATAAAATACTTTCACATGTGTTTTTTTTAATGGTGGAATAGCTAGGTATACTGATAATTACTACTGTAACATGCCTTTTTTAGAAGCCCTCTCAGTCTGTAAAGTCCCCTATTCTTTTTTTCTTTTTTCTTTATTGATTAAAGTATTACATATGTGTCATTATTCCCCCATTGCCCCACCCCCCATCTCTTCACTCATGCCTTCACCCTCCTGGTATCTGTGGCCATTGTTTAGGCTTGTATGCATGCATACAAGTCCTTTGTTTGATCTTCCCCCCTTACCTCCATTTTTAACAACTTTTAGGGTTTGTCATTATAGCACCAAATCCTAATCTTTTAGGGAGTCAGTGATTGTCATTGGGACATTCTTGAATTTACTAGTAAAAGCAGCAGGGCTCAATTCCCAAAGAAATAGCAATCTTAGAATATTCTGGGTCCTCTGTTGGCTCCAAAGAAAAAAGCAACTGAACTGTTGATGAGTCTGAATTGGGTATGAAGGGAACAATGTAAGAATTTGGGGTGCTGTCACTGTCTAAGCCTAGTGGACTGAGTTCTTGGTGTCGCTCCCCCGCTAACTGCTAGGCAGGAAGCACTGCATGCACAATGGTTTCACTGGACCTTTTCTATGGGAATGATAGGTTAAGGCTTTTGAAACTTAACTGTATTCATCATGGATGAAATTATGTAAAAACTTTAAATTTTGCCCTAGCCGGTTCGGCTCAGTGGATAGAGGGTCACCCTGCGGACTGAAGGGTCCCAGGTTCTATTGCAGCCAAGCGGCACATGCTTGGGCTGCGGGCTTGATCCCTGGTGGGAGGGCATGCAGGAGGCAGCCACTCAATGATTCTCTCTCATCATTGATGTTTCTATCTTTCTCTCCTTCTTCCTTCCTCTCTGAAATCAATACAAATATATTAAAAAAAAAAACTTTCAAATTTGATATGCCAAAAAGTCTCCAAAAAATTAATAACTTAGCACATTTGTTATTTAACTCTTTTATAACAAAATCCTAGTTGATTAGGAAACCCTTATTTTTACCAGGAAATTTCTGGCCTAATCTTACCTAGGCAAGTTTAATTGAGGCAAGTTTGAGAAACTTTTCTTTTGCTTATCTCACTCCTTCCATCAAAATGCCTTGCCATAGCCGGTTTTGCTCAGTGGGTAGAGTAGTGGCCTGGGACACATACCTTAGACCCCGACTCCGCCCTGGCCCTGGCCCTGGCCCTGGCCAGGGTGCATGCAGAAAGCAACCGGTCAGTGTGTTTGTCTCACATTGATGTTTCTCTGTCTTTCTTCTCTTCTCCACTCACTCTAAAAGATCAGTGGAAAAATATCCTTTGGGTGAAGATTAACAAAAAAACAAAAACCAAAACAAAACAAAAAAAACCAATGCCTTTAGCTACGAAACTATTATACTATATGCACTTTTAATAGTTGTCCTAGAAGCACCAGATAATTGAAATAGCATAAGATTCAATAGGTGTTTCTTAATTAAGCATCCAATAAGAGGCCAGGAGCTATAGTACAGTGATTGATGTAATATAGTCATTGGCTGATGTAGGAAAAATTGCCTCACTGCAAAGGTAATTTGAGGATGTCTAAATATTGCCTCTGGTGTATATATGATCATCCTTGTCTTTTTTTTCCATAGGTGTTTCTTTATAAGTTGTTGAACTCAAAATAGTTTTCATTCTGTTGCTGGAAGCTAATTTTAAGATCATTCTGACTTTTTAATGATTTTGGTCTTTCTTTCCTCCCATAACTTAATTCTTTTGTTTTTCTTACTCAGCCTTTTCTTACGGAATATCTCTCTCTCTCTCTCTCTCTCTCTCTCTCTCTCTCTCACTCTCACTCTCACTCTCACTCTCACTCTCACTCTCACTCACTGGAAAAATTCTTCTATTATGGAATTCTAAATTGTTATATACCTTACAAGTCTATACATGCCCTTGGAAATTGTTCTAAGGCAGGGATTATAAAACCAATTGCCCATAGGGGTAGGAATGTCTGAAAGTGAGGAGCAACACCTGATGAGTGTCAGGGAAGTGAGAGGGGCAACCACTAGGGACTGGACCCTTAGGATCTACCTGAGGGGCTGGCAGCTGTTGCATTCCTGCAGATTATGGCCATTGGGGTGGAGGCCTGGTGCCGCCAAATGATCTGATTTCTCAAAAGAAAATGGAAATACGGATTTTTTTTCCTTTGTAGTATGTTTGAAAATGTAAAAATTATATACATTGCATTAAATTAAAAAAAATGTATGGATCAAACAAAACATGTCCGTGTCCCAGATTATGCTCACAAAAGGCCAGTTTATAGTCTTTGCTCTAAAGTAGGGGTGTCGAACTCAATCAGAGAAGGGGCCAAAATCTAAAATCCAGCCTAAATCACGGGCCGAATGGTTTACTGAACAGTCATAAACTGTCATTGTGATGGAAACGCAGCGGAGTGCAGTGATGACAGCGCAGTGCGGGCCACATTGCAAGGCCTGGCGGGACGGATTTGGCCCTCGGGCCTTGTGTTTGACACACGTGCTCTAAAGGGTGTTTTGCCCCCCCCCCCCCCCAACATTAACACTATTAATGAAGAAGAGTGTGTGGGTGCTAAAATGTCTTAAAGCTGGCTAGGTTTTATTATTTTTTTAAAATCACCTTTAGCAAGGACATATTACTTAACTATAAAGTTTTGATGAATTAGTTGTAGCACTTAACTCTTTAATTGCATGTTATAGCATCTTGTTATTTTGTAGTAGCTCAGGTACAGAGCATACTTGTAAAAAGACAATGGAGTTTTAGGCTAATAGATCTCCAGCCAAGTGCCTAATTTTGATGTATGACTTTGTCTTAATTTCCAAATAAAAGTCTTCTTAATTGAATCTAGAAGAATCTATGAACAATAACTGTAGGATGTTTTTCCTTGAATCCTTGACCATATATTAGCAATGTAAGGTTGAAAAAATTGAAAATTAATTTTGACTTTAGTTATCAGATGGATATTCATGTATTTTCTTCTTCTTTCTTTAAAGATTTGAACATGGAATTCAATCCTTCAGACCATCCTCGAGCCAGCACAATATTTCTCAGTAAATCTCAAACAGACGGTAGGTTGCTAATTTATATATATATTTTCTTTCAAAAACAAGGCCTATGTTAATAACTAGTGTAAGTTTTCATTTCCAACTAGAATCCTTTGTAATGACACCACCCCCCCTCCCCAATATATTGTTTGATGCTAGTTCTCTTGGGGATTTCTTTCTTTTGTCTTGTTATATTTTTAGAATTTTCTATTTGAAGCAATGTTGCCAATCAGTTGTGAACATTCTATCTCAGTAGTTTTCTATCCTGAGAGTCACAAATTTTTCTTTAAGAATTGATATTTGCATAAGTTCTCTAAAGATCAGAAGCATTGGTTTCCTAGACGGTTTGTAAAAGAAAGCAAAATATATTTTATCCCAGGTGTGTGTGGAATTTCTCCTGAGTTGTTTTTTTTTTTCTTCTCTTTCCAGTACTAGCTTATCTCACTTTTCCATGGTCCTTAGCTACAAAGGAGAGATAAAACTTAAACACTGATCATAAATCTTCTCATTTGGATTCCTATAGAAAAGAGTATTAGGAGAAAGGTGTTACATGATGATATTGTGACCAGGATGTTATATTACAACTAGAAGCCCCATGCACGAAATTGTGCAAGGGGTTTGGCCCTCACAGCTGTGGCAGCTTGCCTTGACCTTTGCAGCCACCCCCTAGCAGCCCCAGCTTTGTCCGTGGTCCGTGATGTGTGGTCTAATTAGCATGTCATGCTTTTATTTTTATAGATAGAGTCCTGTGTGATTCTATTCCTGACTTGGCAAATTGCTAAGCTTTAATTTAAAGAAGGTCCTCAGTTGACTAGAAAATAACTTAATATATTTAAGACAGTAAGTTCATTATAGGAATTGAGAATTCCTCAATAATGATTAGGTAATAATTTTGATATGGTATAATGCTGATGTAATATTGGTTAAGCAGACCACTGACTTGATTTGAGACAACTGGGTGTATTATTATTATTATTATTATTATTATTATTATTTAAAAAATCAATGTTTTTAAGAGAAAGAATAAATCATTGTATACTTTAAATACTTATGAAGCTTTGAATATATTAGGGTGGGGGGAATAAAAACAAAATTTTGCTTTCTTGGCCTGGTAAAGTGGAAAGCCATTGAAAGAAGGGTAGGATATGGCAAGAGAAGGAAAGTGACAGTGGGGATGAGGGCTTGGGAATGATGGAAAACGAGAATTAACATTTTTTACACTTAATGTTAGTGCTGTAAAAACCAGCCACAGGACTGACATACTTTTGGGTTTGGTTCTTCCAGTGAATTCAGGGTGCAAACCAACATCATTCTGAAGTTTTTCTGATTAGATTTACATGAAATTGCATTAGAGCCTCTAAGTTGGTAACACATGCCTTGATCATCATGGTAAAAGGAAATTCAGCAATTATCTGACCTAACAGAAGAATTGCTCTGGAAGGAAGGAGTTAGGGAAGTATATATCTTCCCGCTTCACAGCAGGTCTCATTCACTCCTTTTTTTCTGGAACACAAGGTATCAATTCCTCTCACCCTTCTATTCATTGCTTCAATTTTTCTTTAAATGCTGGAGCTTTCCATTCAACATATGAAATGATTTATTTGAGTCTCACAGGTTAAACACAATAAAATGAACAATAACCAACACCTTCCTGAAGTGTTCCTCTCTACTCTTCTGCTTAGTGAAAACTTCTATACCATCTCTACCTTTTCTCTTTCCATTCAGTATTCCACAGGTGACTTCTTTTCAATCGCTATTCTGTGCAGGATATGTTGTTGTAAGGTTGCCTAAAAGACCTTTTGCCTCCTTTAGCTCTTGAATGCTCATGGCACTCGCTGCCATTGGCTATTCCTTCTCCTTTGGCTTCCTATTATCAAATAGGCCAATTTGCTGAAAACAAGTCCATCTAATAATTGCTTTAAATTTTAAAATAGGTAAATTTGATAACTTTAGTGGTTTAATTCTTTAGTAAATTAATTTATTGCTAGAGAATTGACTATTTGGAAAATCTGTCCTGAAAACTCCTTTTCTTAAAAAAACACACATCAAAGGTTGATACTTTTACAAATGTTCCCCATTTCCCCCTCGTTTACCAACTCCACTCAGACGCTACCCTCATACCCTCCAGTCTTCACCACATTATTATATGTGTCCATGGGCTATTATGCATATACGCATATGTTCTTTGGTTAATCTCTTCCAGTCTCCTCGCCACCACACTCCTCTCTGAGGTCTGTCAGTCTGTTCCATGTGTCCATGCTCTGGTTCTATTTTGTTCATTAGATTCTACATACAAGTGAGATAATACGGCATTTGTCTTTCTTTGATTGGCTTTTTTCACTTTCCATCATACTCTCCAGGTATATCCACACTGTCACAAAGGTAAGAGTTTCTTCTTTTTTATAGTCTCATAGTATTACATTGTATAAATGTACACATTTAAAAAAAAATCAAATCATCTATTGATGAGCACATGAACTGTTTCCAGATCTTGGCTAAATAACTTGGGGTATTGAACCTGCAACCCAGGTATGTGTCCTTAACTGGAAATTGAACCCATTACCCTTCTAACCACTGAGCAAAACCAGCCATTACCTTTGCCCATTTATTATTTGGATTGTATGTTTTCCGGGTGTTGAGTTGTATAAGTTCTTTATATATTTTGGAAAATAACTCCTTACCAGATGTATCACTGGTGAATACATTCTACCATACAGTAGGTTTCCTTCTCATTTTGTTGATGGTTTCTTTTGCTGTGCACAAGCTTTTTAGTTCGATGTAGTTCCCATTGTTTATTTTTTCCCATTGTTTCTCTTACCATAGGATAGGGGTGTCGAACTCAATCAGAGAAGGGGCCAAAATCTAAAATCCAGCCTAAATCACGGGCCGAATGGTTTACTGAACAGTCATAAACTGTCATTGTGATGGAAACGCAGCGGAGTGCAGTGATGACAGCGCGGTGCGGGCCACATTGCAAGGCCTGGCGGGACGGATTTGGCCCTCGGGCCTTGTGTTTGACACATGTGCCATAGGAGATGATCAGCAAAAAATGTTGCTACAAGAGATGTCTGAGGTTTTATTGTCTGTGCTTTCTTCTAGGATTTTTATGGTTTCATGACTTACAATTAAGTCTTTTATCCATTTGGAGTTAATACCTATGTATGGTATCAGTTGGTAGTCTAGTTTCATTTTTTGCATGTACCTGTCCAATTTTCCTAACACCATTTATTGGAGAAACTGTCTTTACTCCATTTTATGCTCTTGCCTCGATTGTCAAAAATTAATTGATCATAAAGACATGGGTTAATTTCAGGGCACTCTGTTCTCTTCCATTGACCCATCTTCCTGTTCTTACGCCAGTACCAGGCTGCTATGGTTACAGTGGTCTTGTAGTATAGTTCATGGTCGCCAACCTTTCAGACCTCACGGACCACTGGTTGGAGACCGCTGATATAGTTTGATATCAGATATTGTGATACCTCCAACTTGGTTCTTTTTTCTCAAGATTGCTGAGTCTATTTGTGATCTTTTGGAGTTCCATATAAATTTTACACCTCTTATTAAATTTTTGTTTTATTTCAATAGTAAATGGGATTGTTTTCTTAGTTTCTCTTTCTGAGGGTTTATTATTGGTGCATAAACATGCCACTGATTTTTGTATATTAACTTTCTATCCTGCTACTTTGCCAAATTCATTTATTAGGTCTATTAGTGTTTTGGTGGAGTTTTTACAGTTTTCTGTGTACAGCATTATGTCATCTGTAAATAATGACAGTTTTACTTCTTTCTTTCCAATTTGGATGCCTTTTTCCCCCCTTCTTTTTGTCCGATCACTATGGCTGGGACTTCCAGTAATGTGTTGAAAGCAGATATCCTTGTCTTGTTCCTGATCTTAAGGGCAACACTTTTATTTTTACCTATTGAGTATGTTGTTTTCATATGTGACCTTTATTATGTTGAGGTATGATCTCTCTATTTCCACTTTGCTGTGTGTTTTTATCATAAACTACAGGCCTGGTGCATGAAATTTATGCATGGGCTTTATCTCCAGCCCCCACACGCTGCAATGGCCATGGTCAGAGGCCTCTGCCGCCCCTGCCTCAGCTCCTGCCTGCTGGGCTTTGTCTGGAAGGAAGGACGTCTGGTCTAATTAGCATATTATCCTTTTATTATTATAGATGGGTGCTGGATTTTTTCTAATGCTTTTTCTGAATCTGCTGATATGATCATGTGATTTTTATCCTTCATTTTGCTTATGTGATATATCATACAATATTTATTGATTTGTGAATATTGTACCAACCTTGCATCCCAGGAATAAATCCCACTTGCTTATTGTGTATGATCTTTTTAATATATTTTTGGATTCTATTTGCTATTATTTTGTTGAGCAATTTACTATGTATGTTCATCAGGGATTTTGGTGTAGAATTTTCTTTCCTTGTAGTGTCTTTATCTAGTTTTGGAATTAGGATAGCGCTGACCTCAAAAAAAAGAGTCAGAATGTCTTCCCTCCTCCTGAATTTTTTTTTGGAATAGTTTGAAGAGAGTAATTGTTATTTCTTCTTTGAATGTTTGGTAAAATTTGTCTATGAAGCCATCTAGTCAAGGACTTTTGTTTATTGGGAGTTTTTTGATTACTGATTGAATTTCATAAGTTTTTATTGGTCTATTCAGGCTTTCTGATTTTTCCTACTTTAGTTTTGGAAAATTGTATATTTCTAGGAATTGGTTCTTTTCCCCCAGGTTTCCAATTTGTTGGCATATAGTTATTTATATTATTTTCTTGCAACTTTTTGTATATATGTGATGTTAGTTGTTATTTTGCCTTTTTCATTTCTGATTTTATTTATTTGTGTCCTTTTTATTTGTTTCTTTTTTTTTAAACACCCCCCCCCCCCCCCCCCTGCCTCCAACACACTTTGTTTTTATTCTTTGTTTCTTAATGGGTCTGGCTAATGGCTCACCAATCTTATTTATCTTTTTAAAGAAGCAGCTCTTTGATCTTTTGAAAAAAAAATTTC